CCCCCCGTCTCCCCCGGGGTTCCCCGCTCTCCCCCGCCGGTCTGACGGCAGGCTGGGGGGGCAAAGCGTTGCGGTACCGGTAAGGAGAGGCTGGAGCGCGGCGGGGGGACAGGCGAGGGCCGCCCGCTGGGTCCGCGAACACCCGCGGGACGGGGGAAAAGCCAAAAAAAAAAAAAATCCTTTTTCTGAAAAGCATTTTAATGTCTCCCACCAGAGCCTCAGCAGTGAGGACTGATCCTTGTTAATAACACTGAGCTGGGCGGTATCTGGTGATCGACGCTCCCTCTTGGCAGCTGTTATGGTTTGAGGAACCCACAACAATTTGTTGTCGTTTAGACGGTTATTCTGTCACCTGGTGACCCCTCCCAACCCAGGAAGAGGGATCAGGAAAAAACAAGGAAACCCATGGGTTGAAATATAAACAGATTTAATAGTATAGGACTAAATAATTAACATTAACAACGCTAAAAAACCTACATTGATCCTGATACCAATATAAAATATAGGAGGATTGTACTCAGCCCGTTCTGTCAGCAGGCAGCTGAGCACTCCCAGCAGGGACAGCAAATGTCAGACACTGCCAGTGCTATGGCTTCGGAAGAAAGGGACGGGCTCAGGGGTCCAGCAGTGGGGCAAGAAGTTCTCAGGATTGCAGGCATCAAGGAAGGGAAAACTCCTCGGCAAGCTTTCTAATTTACATTGACTGTGACCTTCATGGTGTGACATAACCCTGTTGGCCAGCTTGGGTCAAGTGCCCAGGTCTCACCCCTCGTCCCTGCACCTGGCTAGCTCAGAAACATCGAGACCTTGAAACCCACATGCCATAACTGGCTCTAAAGTAAATATTTTCATAAATTCAGACACTCGAGTCTTCTAAAAGTGCCATTTTCCCAAGCATTAGAGGAGAAATTAGTCCTGTGTCGCTCAAACCACTGTGCACATCTTCATAAAATCAATCTGGAGGCTGGAACTACTGGACTGTTCACAGGGGGCTGAAATGTTGCTGGTTGTCACACAGTCTCTGCTTGTGTTTCATGCTGTTGACTCACTATGGGAGACCTCAGCTGGTCCGAGGCATCAGAATTCAAGTTTAACATTGACCTTGAGCAGATACCCATGTATCCTTGAAGAGGCCAGACAGTCCCGAGAAAAGCTAAGTAAACAAGATAAAGGAGCTGCCAGACTGCAAGCAGAGGAAGCTTATTGAAGTTACAACCGAGAACAGAGAAAAAGTCATCCAATTATGAACTGTCGGTCTTTGAGTGAACCAATTATATATGGACACACATTCTTAAGAAAGATATAAAAGGGCTTGTTTTAACAATAAACATGTCTTTTGCTCATAATTCCGTGTGTGTCGTGTCCGTCTCAACAACGACAACTCTCCAGAGCTAATGCTGTGCAGGTGTTCTGAAATTTCCATGTGAACCAACTACAAAAGTGATAGGGAAAAGTGAAAGGTAACAATCACATTCAATTCTTTCAATTTTTTCTTGTGTACTTCTAATGCAAAGTTGATGTGAGAAATTTATTTTTCAAAGGGAATTTATTAATATGTTCTTAAGAGTGAAAAATACTTGAAAACTATTTATCAAAGGAAGGAAAACTATGCACTACTACAAATTTGTTTTTATAAGTTAGAGAAAAATACTTTGGATGTGAATAGTTGTAGGATCATCAAAGCGGCAGTAGAATATTTAACACATATTACTATGTTTATGTTATATTTATATTTATATTCACTGCAGCACAATGATGTTTGTGTGTCAAGCAGCGTGTCTGAGCCAGAGAGGGAAAGTGACTGGCCTGAGAGCGCAGGGGCACCCGGGTACGGTGTGAGACCCAGTTCCCTTTCTCATGACAGAATTGTCCTTTTACATGCACCTGCTCTGGAAGAATCCGCAAGTGAGTGGTAAACTAAAGTTTGTGACTGGTGCTGAATAAAGGTTTTGGTTTTTTTTGGTTTTTTTTTTTTATTATTTGTAGCCAAATTAGGCCCCATAGTTTGCATTTGGTGAAAACAGACACATGCATTGTGCTTCTGACATTTTCTCATGCCTTTGTTCTGCATTGCTTCCTGTGTGGTTCTCATGACTAAGGCACCTGAAGACCAACGTGCATCTTTTTCCTGTGAATTTTCTGAGCTGATCCCCTAAAGCTTTTCTTTATGATAGCAGTAGGAGTAGTGTATGCAGCTAGCCTAACTCCAGTAAAGCTTCAAAATCCTGGTAATCCACAGGGCTAAGTAGAAGGGCTTCTGTTTGGTTATAGAGGCAAAGCTTATAGTGAGAAAGAATATTTTTTATTAAACTAAAATATATAGAGAGGATAAAGATATTAATTATGTAAGTCCTTACGCTCTTGCACAACTCCGGTGAACATCCAGGCTTAGAACAGACTGGAAGCGATTTATTTTGGAACAGCCTAATTAACATTGCTCAACTTGTGTATCTGCAGGAAAGGAGTAGGTAAGATACACAGAACAAAGAGAAGTCACAGGCTTGTGGGAGGTGGCTACGAAACTCCTGTAGAAGTGATGAGTTAGCAGGAACTGAGATGGGTTGCAAAAGAGCACAGGCTCTTTCTTTACTGCATAAAGGCAGCAGTGTTGGAAGGCCGTGTGCTGATTGCTTTGGTGTGACCTTGTCTCGCTTGGTGTTTGGTGTTCTATGGGAGGCAAATTTCTGACAATGTGTCTGGGAGTGGCTGGGAATCGTTCATGTGCTGAGAAGGAAACATTCTGGGGAAATTCAGTGGAAGTTATAATCTCCTTTTGGTATGTGGTGTAATTAATAATTTCCTGTATAGATTCCCACATCAAAATAGGACTGGTGAGTGGTTTTGGTTTTTGTTTGTTTGTTTTTTCCTAATTTTGTACACGATATTCAGTGTTAAGGAGCAGCAAGAATGGGGCTGCCCCACAGTGCAGATGAGCTCGCAGTCCCACAGGACCTGAGCAGGGCAGAGTGGTGATAGAGGCAGGGTCCACCAGCAGTCTCGGACAAGTCAAGGTGATGAGCCTGGCAGAGGGAGTCCAGCTGGGAAGAACAGCAGGAGGTGGCTCAGAAACAAGGCTATGGCATAGGTCCAGTGTCAATGCAGAAAACAGGGTATAAGGCTATCACCTTTGTCAGTTTGGGGTCCCTTGAGGAAAGCCAGTCACTAAATCAGGGAAGCTGGGGACAAGCACAGCTGTGATCCAGCTCAGGCAGGGACTGAAGGCTCAGGTCAAAGTTGAAAGAGCTCCTGGATGAATGAGTAGAGAGCATGTGGATGGAGGTCCCAGTTGAGGTTGGTCAAGGCTTAATACTACCAGTTAAGGCTTACTAGCACACTCATGGCCCTGACATTCAGGCAGTTCATTCAAAGCTACAACCTGACCCTTTAGAGGAAAGTTTTTGATTGGTGAAAGTTGTTCTTATGTTAGCGAGGTATTAATCACAAGGGTGATCAATAAAAACCAAAAACATCCAACTGGAACAAGGAAAACTCTTTTTATTCACATCTGAAGCCTGATCCTCAGGAAAGACCTACAAAAGCAAGCCTGGGAACCAGAAGTACCAGTACTTCTCTACTGAAAACTGGGGACTCAGTATTTGCACAATAAAACTTTTTTGGCCACTATAATTTTCAGTATATCTCATCAACTATTAACCCATGGTTGTTCCACAGAAGTTCACTTCTATAGACTGTTATCTGTCCTAGTTGGCATACTTTGTCAGCTGTCTTCCTCTCTTAAGCTGTTTGAAGAATATTAATTTAGGTTACACCCAGAACAGTCATTCCCAACCTTCACTTAGCTTGATGTCTGCTGTGTGTGGATCCAACTTGTAAATGAGTTTTTATTGCCCACCACAGAATGTCTTCTTCCAAACATAATAGATGACACCTCGCATTACAAACATGTCATTTTTATATTCTTAGACATCAGAGTTAGAGCAACACTGCTAGCTAAAAGGAAAGAATTTCTAATCTGGACGAGATAGAACATGCAATGTGTTTCACTGAAATACTGGCAAGGGTAGGTTTAATTCATACTTCTTGGCAGTGCAAAGATAGCACTTGAGCTCTACAGAAGGAGAAATAACAACCAAGGTTGACCAAACTGGCAATTTTCTTCATTTGGGGCATTAGCAAATCTGAATTAAGTTTTAAATTATATTGGCACTACCAGGATTAGCCATATTTTCATAGAATCATAGAATGGTTAGAGTTGGAAGGGACCTTAAAGATCATCAAGTTCCAACCCCTCCATTATATTTTGTTAAGCATCAGTGCCCACATGAAGCATCAGCACCCTATGAATCAATACTGGCATTTCCTTGAGCTCGGTGTTGGCCCGTAAATGAACAACTGTAATGAAAATCAACCATAATCCAAGTATTTCAGTCAGAAAGATCTGTTTACATGGTTCTTTGAAAAGCCTTTATCTCTATGAACTTTCTATTCCTGGCCAGCTTTAGATTTTCCATACACCAGGTTTTTTATCACTGTGTTGTGCTCAGTGCAAGTGGGAACCTCCTGACAGCTTTTCTGTTCTGCAAACTCTGTGATGTTATTCCTGTAGCGAATTCTGGACTAAAACTGCAGTGTTGTATTTCTGTGGATGCTGTGCCTGAGCACACAGTTTTGCCTGCAGGCACGCACACTTTCAACCAGGGACCTGGTGAAGCACAGAGCCTGCTGTGGAGAGTGCCTGGGAGTCTGGAGTATGGGGTCAGGAATATGGGAACCATACCTGCCGAGTCCTTAGCTGCTTTTTCCCTTTGTCTTGTTCTCTGGTGAGTAAGAAGCTGACTGAAGCAACCAG